GTCTGTCTGACTGCAAAGCCCAATACTTCCCCATTCATCATACTGATCTTCAACTGTCAGCTGGGCCACAATGTCAAAATCACTCATAATTACAACACACACACACACACACACAATCTGCCCCTTGAAATCCTTGTGCTTCAATTGCATGTGATGAAGATAAAATACATTTTATATACACAAAAAATTGTCCAGAAGAAGATACAGATACTATGGGACTTTTTCTACTGTGCATCTGTTATTGTCTGTGATCATGTTTTCACAATAAACTTAGTTAATGTGTCAATTTCTAATAATAGGCTCTCCATGGAGGTTGCCAGAAACCATGTGTTGGAAGGAAACATTTGGATTGAAAGGAGCCAGTAATGATAGATGAGAAAGAGCTAACCTGCCAAAAAACTGTATCCTAAATATTGAACAGGCGAATTTTAGTCTTGTGGTTTTGAGAAAAGGTTTCCAATATTATCATTATCCATAGTCTTTTTCTTCCTCAGAAGTATAGTACAATGGATGAACCTTGAAAACAGTATACAATATTATATGATAAATTATATGAAAATGTTGAGAATCTATCAAGATAGAAAGTAGATTAGTGGTTGCTTAGGAATTGGGGTGCTAGTGGTATAGGGAAGTGACAACTAAAGGGTACTATGTTTTTTGTGAAGTGATGAAAAATTCTAAAATTGGACTGCAGTGATGGTTGTACGAGTCAGTGAATATACTAAGAACCACTGAACTGTTTACTTTAAATGAATTAATTATATGTTATCTGCATTATATCTTAATACATTTGTAAAAAAAATTTAAGTTATACATGTAAGCTCATAGTTTTGAATTTTCAAAGACACATACCAATTATTTTAGAGGTGAGAACTCTGGAATTCAGATTTGGCTAGGTAGAGCCTATTTGGGGAAAATGGGGTATTATGGCTGACCAGCATTGCAGCTTTGATGTAGGAAGTGAGGTGGATGCTTAGAGGACTTTAGTTCTAGGTATTGTCACAGGATGTGCAGAGTATGGAAGGGATCAGTGACAGCAGTTCACAGTTCTGATCAGGGGTGGGGTCCAGGGCAAACTGCAGGGTCTCAACAGACATGCTGTGTGAGTAGCTGGGCCTCCAGCATTAGCCCAGCCATACAAACTGGGCCATAGAGGGGATACTGGGGCAAGAGGCCTGAGGCCACCTGGGGCACTGGGCCCTGTATCCAGATGGGAGGAGTAGCAGTATGTGTGACGGGATGCTGACAGTCATGTGAGTTGGACAAGGGCTTATGTGCAGGCCCCAGGGGTTGGATGAAATAGTTAGGCTTTCTCAGAAGATTCTAGTCCACCTGGACTCCCCACCTGGGGCCCACTTATAGTCACCAGCTTGCTTACTAGAGAAGTAAGCTTGTGGTCTTACCAGGGTGTGTCTTAAATCTCAGCTGCATGAAGGAAAGACGGAGAACAGAAAGAAGGGGGTAATTGTCACAGTCAAGTTCCTTTTAATGACTTTTCACACCCTCCCTCTATCTGTTTAACTCAATATTACTCACGCCAAAGACTGTGATAGGGGCTCAGATACAAATACCAAGAAACAGTCCTTGCCCTTATGGAGTTTATAGTTTAGAGGGAGAAGGCAACTCATAAGCAGATCATTCTCAACACACTGACCACATCCTATAAGATCTGCCCCAACACTCTTAGCTCAGTTTGGGTCACGAGAAAGGCATACTTCCTCCAGGGAACCCAACTGCTATGGTCTAAATGTATATGTTTTTCCAAAAATTCCTATGTTGAAACCTAATCTCCAATATGACAGTATTAAGAAGTATGGCTTTTGGGAGGTGATTAGTGCCCTTCTAAAAGAGGCCTGAGGGAGCTTATTATTCTGTCACCTCTTCTGCCATGTGAAGACACAGTCAGAGGGTACTATCTATGAAGCAGAGAGCCCTCACTAGACACCAAACCTGCTGGCACCTTCATCTTGGACTTTCCAGCCTCTAGAACTGCAAACAATAAATTCCTAATGTTTATAAATTACCCAGTCTAAACTATTTTGTTATAGCAGACTGAATATATACCAACTTAAGACATACTTCTATAACAATTTAAAAAAGTATACATAGAAATCTTATTTAGCATACTTAATATTGTCTAGAAATGAAAATACTGGTATTTTCCATAAATATTACTCAAAGGGCAATGATTTTCTTAGACAGATTGACAGTTACATTTTCTAAGCAAGGCCTTATAGAGACATCTAACGTAAAAATGCCTTCGGTTAACATAGTTGATCAAATCCTCAAGGGCAAAATATGTTAAGGTAGCATGCTGGGTCAGGAATTAACACATACTTGTTATATAAAACTGGATTTTTGATGTTGAATTTAAAGTCTTTCACAGCATTTTTAATTCCTAAGTATGACATTTTGGATTCAACCTGAATATGTGGTGATAGACAGATCTGATGGGATGTGATCCAATTTCTGGGTAAAAATATGCTGTTTAAAAAATCATACTTAAATAGCTTTAAGTCGAAAAGGTGATACATGTACTTTATCAGCCTGAATATTTGATTTAAATGAACGGTGTTGCACCATTTTATTTTTATCATACGTGAGGTCACATAATATAGTGGGGAGGGAGCCCTGGATTCTGGTACAGACTCTGTAATTCAATACCCAAGTCATCTAGACAAACCGTACTCTCTCTGGGGCTCATTTGCCACATTTGTTTAAAAAGAAAAAATAAGAGGTTCCAGAGAAGAGGGAAAAAGGTTTGACTAAATGATCTAAAAAAATCCCTTCTAGCAAAATTCTATTAGGTTGAGCAAAGGCCATTTAAATTCAAAATGTAGATCTGTGCAAAGTGAACCAAACTGGTATTTTTACTTTTGAACCAAGAATTTTACTGTTTAAAAAAAATCCCCACACAAAAAAACAGCACCCCCTCTGAACCCATCTGTAGCTCTGACATTAGGAATTCAAATTGGAGTATTTTTACCCTCTGGAGTTTAAGTAAGCCCAAGCAAGCCCCTGCTTGTACTTTATGATTTGGCTAATTTAAGTCCTAATGCAGTTCCATCTTTGACAGCAAAATCATTTTACTAATATTTTTATGCATTTAAAGAATTACTTCTAATTAGTGACCTTCTAAGTACTGACGGCATACCAGGCAGGAAATGACAGAATTTTTTCCTTCCTTGGACTTTCTTCCCCCCATGAAATGCAACCCCACTGTCACAAATACTATGTACAAGTTATTTCAGATGCTCTCAAAGGGCACACCTGAAACAGACTGCCAGAGGGGTTGCATTAGAAAATAGAAAAATCAATTCCAGATGAAAGCAAAACAGACAGAAGTCTCCAAATTGGCAAAGGAAAAAAACAGCTATTCTTATTTAAGAGCAGAATGGAGAGATGGAGGGATGCTTTCCCAATGTCTCAAGATTGGGATGGTTTTAGTCATTGTTTCTGAGCTGGGTGTTTCTTACAAATGTCACTTTATGAGGAGGGGCTCTATGAAACTCCAGTTGTATGGAGCTTTGCAGCCTTCCCGTCCATTGAGGCTGCAGCAGCCAGTGATTAGATCAGTGTGGAAAGTCAGGGAGAGAAATTGGAATGAATTATTTTCTTAAAAGAAGTGGTCATTCAATGGGAGAAAATCCGAGTCACCCACAATTTCCTTGTCCCAGTTGCAAAAGGATGGGTCAGGCAGGATCCAAGAATAGGAAGGGAGAGAATTCAGCTGGGGTCTGAAGCTGGTATGGGAGCAAATTCCCGAATATAGAATGTGAAACAAACCAGTCCAGGAGACGCAGGCAGCCTTAGGAAGGGCGTTGAGTAGGCCCAGCATCTTGCAAGGGTGAGTCCAGGTGAGGGACGTGTTACCTAGTGTCGCTGGCGGCGAGCCTGACGTTCGCCCGGGAGTGGTTCCCACCAGTGGCTCCTTAGCGCGCAGCGGCCTACTGGGTGTCAGCGCGCAAAGTCGCTGCTTAATCCCCGCTCCCGCTGGATTAATTAGGGCCTCCTCAAAGCAGAAAGTTGAGCCAGGGCTTCTTTCCCAGACACAGGGGCACCAGGAGGTCGACACTCCTCTGGCCCAGGAGACGCCCCTCTCCAAACATCACCGGCTGAAGGTGGTGCTACTCCAGTAAGCGGCCCCCACGCCCTCAGCCGGGCTCTAGGGACCTTCTGGTGACTAGCGGCCAGTCGGGTCACCGGAGTCAAGTCCCTGGCTCGGGCCGCTTCTCCCGCGCCTGGGCCCTGGGTTTGCGGCCAGCAGTCTGGGCGCAGGGCGGGGCGCGCCCGAGGCCGAGGCGACGCGCTATTCCTGTCGCTGTGAGCTACCGGCATGTTATGTGCTGCGCCCAATCACGCCTCGGACCTGCCGCTCTGACCCCCGCCCTCCCCTCCCTAATCCCCCAGGCTTTGATTTGATCCTCCGTGCGGAACAAGCTCACCCCCCTTCCCACCCGCCCCGTTACCAGTTGTCCCCAGCCCTCGTGGGTGCCAGCAGAACCCGTCCTCCTCGTCCACCCCTGGGAGGTCGGAGCCTTCGCCCCGCACTCCTGGGACGCCCCGAGTCGGGGCCGCAACTGCGCCGTCGGAGACCCACCACCCCCGGAATTCACTGGCAGCTTGGTCCTTCCAGGTGATGGTGCGCGGCCACCGGCGCCCCTGGTGTGCAGGTGTGGGCTCTCCGAATTGGGCTGGGGAGGGGGCTTTGGGCCCAGCGCTGGCAGCCTTAGCAGCCGTGGAAACCAAGCCCCACGCTCCCCGGACGACTCTAAACTCCGCGCCCTTCACTACTAGGGGCTTCAAGAAACAGTCCCCAGACCGGATTTGCTCTAAGAGGGGCACCAGACTATCTGTGGATCTAGATGAAGGAGCCCTGGATTTTAAGCTGAGCAGGCAAAAAGGGCCCCCTGTTAAGGGCTGTGCGGCCCACACAGGGGTCCGTGGAGTGCGGTGCCCCGGGATGCCTCCGGCTCCGCCTGCGTCCCTCCCTGGGCAGAATGAGTTACTTCCTGTCTTACTGCAAGGCTCATGGCGGCGCGCTACTCACCGGCTACCAGGCCCTTCGCGCGGAGGGCTTCCTGTGTGATGTGACACTGGAGGCCGAGGGCAGCGAATTCCCTGCACACAGGTCGCTCCTCGCGTGCTCCAGCGACTACTTCAGGGCCCTGTTCAAGAGCCACACTCGGGAATCCCGGGAGCATGTAATCCACTTGCACGTGCCGTCGGCGGCAGGCTTGCAGCGCCTGCTGGACTTCATCTACACCGCCTGGCTGTCGCTCTCCATGGACACCTTAGAGGACACACTGGAAGCTGCTAGCTACCTGCAAGTCACCGAGGCCCTGGGGCTGTGCGGGCGCTACCTCGAGCGCCAGCTGGCTCCAGAGAACTGCTGCTTCGTCGCTAATGTGGCAGCGCGCTTCGGCCTGACTCACACCTTGGATGCGGCTGAGCGCTGCATCGTGCGCCACTTGCGGGAGCTGCTGGCGCGGGGCGCGGGCCAGGCAGGACTGCTGGAGCTCAACCCTGCGTCCCTGAAGGCCGTGCTAGGGGCGCCCGACGTGGCACGTGTGCCTGAGGCCTGGCTGCTGGGCCTGGCCCTGGCTTGGCTGAGACAGGAGCCCGCGGCAGAGCGCCGGGCTCACTGCGCAGCGCTGCTTGAGCGCGTGCGCTTCGGCCTGGTGCCTGCCGACGTGCTGCGGCGAGTGTACTCAGGCTCGGGCCTCGTGCTGCCCGCCCGGGTGAAGGGCCTCATCATCCAGGCCCTGAACTACCACACGGCGCCCTCCCGTCAGCCGCTCATGCAGGGTGAGCAGACCAGCGTCCGGAGCCCCCAGACCCGCATCTTGTTGGTTGGGGGACGCAGGGCGCGGGAGGCGGTGACTGAGGAAGTTGTGGTCCCAAGGGCGCCAGCTAGGGGCCGGGTTGCCGCCGTGGAGCCCGAGGAAGAGGAAGAGGAAGAGGTAGAAGAGGAGGAGGAAGAGGAGGAATGGGAGCTCACCCATAACGTTGTGGCCTTCGACGTGTATAATCACTGCTGGCGCAGCCTTACCCAGCTGCCCACACCGCTGCTGGGGCACAGCGTGTGCACCGTGGGCAACTTCCTGTTTGTCCTGGGCGGGGAGTGCCCTTCCGGTAGTGCCTCCGTTCCCGCCGACGCCCCGCTGGCGGTCACACCCCGGGTACACCGCTACGACCCGCGCTTCCACGTTTGGACGGAGGTGCCCGCCATGCGGGAAGCGCGGGCTCACTTCTGGTGCGGCGCTGTGGGCGAGAGGCTCGTGGCTGTCGGGGGCCTTGGGGCGGGCGGCGAGGCTCTGGCCTCGGTGGAGGCGTACGACCTGCGCTGGGACCGCTGGACGGCGGCCGGAGCGCTGCCACGGGCTTTGCACGGCCACGCGGGGGCTGTCGGGGACCGTGGTGTCTTGTACATATCTGGGGGCAAGGCGGGGAGAGGTGAGGGCGGCGCGAGCAGCCTCCGGGACTTGTATGCCTTGGGCCCTGGGGAGCAGGTGTGGAGCAAGAAGGCGCCCATGGGCACGGCCCGCTTTGGGCACCACATGGCAGTGCTGCGCGGTGCCGTGTTCGCTTTTCTGGGGAGATACGAGCCCTTCTCCGAGATTGAGCGCTATGACCCTGGCGCGGACCAGTGGACTCGGTTGCGGCCGCTACCCTACGACCGTTTCTCCTATGGGTTGGCCGTGGTGGAGGAGACTGTGCTTCTGCTGGGCGGCCTTAAGTGGCGAGACTCGCGCCAGGTACCTACCCGCAACGTGGTGGGCTATGACCTCGACCTGGATCGCTGGGAGGACATTGGCTGCGCGCTGCCCTGGGCCTGGAGCGGCCTGCAGTGCGCAGTGCTGCAGCTGGCCGAGGGTGGGGATGAGGAAAGGGAGAGAGAGCCCACAGTTGCTCTAGATTTAGTGCTGAACTGAATGGGTTAGTACAAACCTCCCCGGCAACAGAGGAGAAAGTAACGCTTGATCAGTCTTACAGAGCAACATATGGGCTTTTCCTGAGATACGGTAACTCTGGGAGCACAGTGGCTTCTGGAGGTTAAGGAGGCAAACAAGGCCTTGGCCAAAGAGGAATATTTCCCTTTGAGCCGCGAATGAGTGACGGGAGGAGTCAAATAGAAGGATGCATGAATCAGCTTCAGTGAGCTTTTTTTTTTTTCTCTTAGTGTTTCCCTAGGTGCAAAAGTGATTATTTTGTGCCAAAAAAGGCTAAAAAATGCACCACAAAAGGTTATGTACACCCCCCCCAAAATTGTTGGTTATAAAGGCTGTAATAAAGTCCTAGAAGATGGCATTATCTTAATAAATAGTGGAGGGGAAGTGCCTTGGTTACATAGCATGAAATCATTGAAATGAGAACGGTGATGTTCTGATCCAGAGCCACGGGTTATGGTTCTGATCTGATGATTTGATATAAATATGGAACTGAGAGGAAAAAAATCGCCAAGAAGCAGTTTTTTTTCCTAGAAAGTATCCTCAGTTAAATATTTGTTGCCAGTCCCCAGCCTTAGGCTGCCCTTGCCGTGGGTTTAGGCAGCTTACTGGTTTTAAGCTAGATTTCAGTAACCCTTAGCTGTAATAAACCAGGTTCCTCCAGTTAAGTGGAATATCTAACCAAAGCAAACAAAACCCTATTTCTTTAATTTTTTTTTTTTTGGTGGTTTTTGGCCGGGGCTGGGTTTGAACGCGCCACCTCTGGCATATGGGGCCAGCCCCCTACTCCTTTGAGCCACAGGTGCCGCCCTCTTTCATCCTTTTAAATGTTCATTCTGCAGACATGCTGTAAGTTATATTTTTAAAAACTGATTTGTTTTCAGTCTGCTTCTTCAAATGAATCACAGAAAAAGGAAGGAGTAGTAAGTGAAGTTTTTAAGTTTGTGTCAGGTAAATGGAAAATGAGCTTGATTTTTCATGGTTTTAGAGAAGATACTTGGGTACTCTGAACAGAAACTGCTGCTTGTTTGTGCCACCCATGAGATGGCACTGGGGTAGGGGTTGTTAGCTGTGTGATTAAGTCACAAAGAAATGTGTAAGGACTTTGCATGAATAAAGTAGGTGCCTTATAAGTATTCATTAAGAGCTGAATTTATTTGACTTCAGTTTACAGTGCTGCCTCTCTCCTAGATTGGAAACGAATGCAATAAAATGTACAGATATTATATAGTGTTAAAAGGTCTCTTTCATGCTAGGCTAGCCACGAGTCTTGTAAAATTCATTAGTTTAATTTTTACCATTTAAAACAACAGAGCTGACTTTACAAAAGTAAAAGCTGCTTAGTAGCAACAGAGCTAGCTAGTCTTCCCATCAACTGCTTGCTGTTTATAGGCCACAATCTGGCCACCATATATGTGACACATCCATCAGGTACAGATATTTTTAAGTGAACATACACATTTGGTCTAGTAAACATCAATAAGTCTAAACACCTGTAACAAGCACACTTCATTTTAGGACAAGAGGTTTTTTTTTTTTTTGTTTGTTTCTTCTGTTTTTGTTTTTTTTTTTACATATACAAAATCTCACAAATTTACTGTGCGTCAATATCCATGCAGTAAGTAAATGTTTTTACAAATAGAGTTTTTTAAATGATAAAAATATTACACTGGACCCAAAATTCCATACAAACATTAATACATGATTTCTTATCCATTTTGACTAAATATAGGATTACTGAAAATGTGCTGTAGAAAGGCCACTCTCCTGTACAGTTGTGCAAAGTCTGCAAAACGATAGTGATTCAATGGTGTTTCAAAAGCAAAGAAATGATCCCCGCTGTGGAGTTTTTACTTTTTCCTCTACAGCAAAAATATTCACTGGCATATATCTGAACTCTTAAAGATGAAAGTACATTCACTGAGCTGTACAGGCAACAGTATAAAGCTGATTAGAAGTAGATTTTAGGATACAGAATAGTAAAGGAGGGTCCCTTCCTCCTCTTGAAAAAACAGCAAATTGTGACTTGTACGTTATGCAGCCAGACACTAAAAAGCAGCACAGTCATTTTCATGCTGTGATCACTTTCAAAAATAAGACGCTTATAAATTGAAATATATGAAGAGGACTTTTTCATAGACTTCATACACTCTATAAAACAATTCACGAAGCTAGGAAAAAGCCTCCAAATTGTTTCTCTCATGTAATTCAATGTGACATCTGAGTGACCATCACCCTCTTTCTTCTTAGGAAAGAAGTATGCTTTTATTTTTCAACCTTGTTTTCTGTATTTTAACACACATAAGCCCGTAACTAAACATACTGTACTTCCCTGCCTGAAATATAATTACATAAGTTTAATAAATGGACTAGGGAAAAAACTGGAAACTAGCTGGAGTTGATTCATTGCAGTTTAAACCTTGTTGTCTGTTAAGAGTTAGAGTTTAAAAACATGAGTTTGGGCTGAAATTATATATATAGCTGTTAGCTGCATTTCTGGGTGAGTTAAGTCTTTTAAAAAATCCATTCTCAAATTCTTCTGTACACAATCAGCATTTCATCGCTACAAAAATAAAGGAAGATTTAAACCAAGAAAATAAAGCAGCTCTATCTTCAATTTTGGTCTTAGTTACAAAAACATCTTACAAAGCTTTGCCCTGATACACCAGTAAGTGTTCTCATAGATTTGGAATAGTATTTCCATTAACCAGCTTTCACAAGTTAATAGACTATTAAGACTGAATATTAGATACCTGAACTTTTCTTATGTTGATGCTCTTCTATTTTGCTTAGCTCTTGTATGCGCATCTATGTTTCACAAAAATAAAACTACAGCATTAAACTTTGTGCAATGTTTAAGAAAATTCTTAGAACATTTTAATAAATATAAAAAAGGTTTAAATTCTTTCCCACCCACAAGGATGTCTGCACCTGAAAAAATGTGATTTACTTTTGAAGTCTTGTTTATATAAAATTAACTTAACGGGAGAAAAGATGACCTTGGATAGAAAACTGCCTTTTTGTGGTTTTACTGCTTGAAGACCACCTGTGTTTAGAATTGTTTGCAAAAGTTAATTTTAAGTCATTAAAGACAGTTGATTTTGCACATGGTAAACATAAGCTGAGCACTGACTGCATACAAAATATACAAATGCTCATTAAAGATAGTGGTATTCTGACCGTTATCTGGTTTGTTTTATATAGTTTGGTGACATTAAAGTATAGCTTGTCAATTGTCCCACACACTGATATAAAAACTACCTCATATACTTGTTCAGAGTGCCAGCAGGTGCTAGATGGCCTGAAGGCAGAATACACTTACACATGCGTTTCAATGTACGAATGAGTGTGTGTTAGAGAGGAAGTGATTACATCTACTTCAGAAGAAATACTCAGTGGGTCATTCGAGGTGGTATTTTGACAGATATCCAAGAAAAGGTCGAGGTACATCTGCTTCCATTGTTGGAATTCTTTAGATGTCAGGTCTGGATTGTCTAGGACTTTATCAATAATGGCTACTTCCCCTTCTCTGGCCTGAAAAGCAAAGGAATTCAGCAGTTAAGATGGGGACAATTTTTTATGTCAGTTTAAAATAAAAAGTTAATAAGCAACAAGTTAAGAAGCCCATTAAGGAACAGCTTTGCTCTACTCAGCTATTTAGACTCAAATCGTAGTATCCTTTTTTCTATAACTGACGTATGCCTTGTTTTGTCCGTTCTATGTGGTTTATTTTTTCTCTTGGCCTGTCCCAATGCCTGTCTCTGCCTATGGAAACCTTCCTCATTCTTTAGGATCCAGTTCAAAAGCCTCTCATTTCTTGATGCCTTCCTTAAACACTTGGAAAAAAAGGTTGGTTTTTCTCCCTCATTTAGGTCCCTAAACTATTCCATTACTGCCACTGAGTGAACTCAGCACATTCTATCTCCAGTCACTTTTGTATTTGTCCTCTCTGTCCTGTTTATGGTAAGGTCCTCATGCCTGAATGAGAGTAGCATGGCCATAATTCTTCCTCTGTGAAGAGCTCCTTTCCTGTAGCACTGGGGGCTTGTAATGGACAATGGCTCTCCCTTCTATGTTGGAGCATGGGTCTTAGCTGAAGACTATGCTTCATTTTGGTATAACCCACCAATGTACAACTATTTTCTGTGGAAGAAGAGAATCTTCTAGGTAGAAGGTGGGACAAAGGAAAAGGGGTTAAGACAGTCTGAGAAGCTCAGTCGTGCCTTTTATGGAGCCAAGGAAGGGTTAGGCATACATAGATGTTCTGCAGGAAGTGAGAAGGCTTGCTTCTGTGCCAGCCAGAGATTAGAGGGAAAGAAGCAAGCAAGGTGCTTAAGACGTTGTTCTGGTCCCTGAGGCTGAATAGAATATGGAAGAGAGCTAGGACTGAGGATGTTGTGAGTTGCCCATGGTGGGATCCAAGAACTGTGCTGGCTAAGGGGCCTATTAAAATTCCAGGAACAAGACACAGGCAGGGTTGCTTGATTAGGAATCCTTCCCTAATAAGAGATTTCATTCCCTATTAATTTTCCATGCTAAAAAGTATAGTTCATTGTACCAGTGAGGGATATTTCTTTACAGTGACTTTTTCCTTATCTTTCCTTGCCCCAGAGAGTTAAGTACAACATTGTGTGCCTGGTGATTCACCAGTGCTTATTGAACTGAACATCGGCAGTAGCTCATATTTTTCTTTGTCACTGGAATGAAATTCCTTGGGGGGATCTACAGAGCATAAGAGACAGGAGCAAGAGGGGTGGGGGAGAGAGAGGGAAGGGGGGTGGGGGGAGAGAGAGGAGGAAGAGGAGAGAGAGAGAGAGAAGAACATTTTTGAGATTTGTGAGACTGAGCGGCTTCAAAATTCCTGCCTGTGTTCTAAACCAGGAAGTTTAGAATTGCATGTGGAAAGGTGGGGAGGCTCTATAAGGTGGGAGAGTGAGGATAGCTTTGGAAGAAGGTTGGTCACTGAAATTATTCTTATGAATATTATAGCTCCCTCTAAAATTCTAGTTACTAAAAATCTGTTAAATTGTCCCATGGATTTGTAGTAGTGTTTGCATGAATACCAATGAAAAGCTAATTGA